TAATCAAACGGAGAGATCCAAATCAAAGGATCGTAGAACTGAAATCCCGCGGAGACTGTATAGTGTGATAGAGTAAGTTGCGGTAGCAATCCTACTCACTCACGATCCAAACGGAACGCGTTGAAAATTCGTCTAGCATTTATCTAGTAGCGTGGAATCTCTCACGCCAGCTAAATATCTAGAGCGCGATGTTTCACCATCGACCTAGTATGACTAGCGGTCGAGAACTGTCTCAATGACTATTCACGAAAGACTCAGTCATGAGTCGAACTCAAACCCTATCTAGGATCGAGTCGCGAATAAGGCTAAGAGCCGTGTATTGCACTTTCTTTGTCATAGGATCTCCTTCTGCCACTGTCAAAGCAAGCAGAGCAAGGACATCACTGTACCACTCAGAGCTCTGCCTCACTCCCCATCCAGTCATGGTCTCAAGAATCCAGGCCATATCAGGTGTCATGGGCACAGCTTTTTCTTCCATTATGAGTTGCTCAACCATGACACTGGGAAGGTACTTTACCTTTAGAACAAAGTACTGGCTGTACCCGTTTGCCCTGTCAGTTTCATCTACCAACAAAACATACTTGAGTTCATAGCTCTGCCTGGTCTTCCGAATCTCATTGAATGGGTAGCGACTGTTAACATCTAGCCAGTGTTTAAACTCAGAACTAGCAGTTCGTAGCATGATGAAATTCCAGCTTAGCTGTAGTTGACTGTAACAGATCCAATGACTCGACTTGATACGGAGATCAAATTGTGAGGACGTTCAATGGAGGTACGGTGCACCTCCACGAATAAGTCTCCGATGCTTCCACAAGACCCCAACTGACACAAGGGAGTTAGGTGTCAATATTTGAATTTGCTAAGTATCGCAAACTACAGTACAATGCTCCACAGTAATTATTGTCTATAGAAACGACTGTACTATCTGTTGATAACCTACACTCGCCAAGACCGATACTCTCCCGTATCCTTATCCCTTCAATTGATTTCGGGGCAAATGTGGGTCTCAGCTTGAATCAAACCCGCAGAATGCGAGGTCGTAGAATTCTAGCAAGAATTCCATGGAAGAACATATGTTGAGACGTTGAAGTGACAATCGTGACGATCCTTCCGAGAAAGAGTTCCGTCATGCTCAAAAGGCTTCCACCAATGAAATTGCTCACGCATTTTCGGCCAGGTGGCATTTTTGGAGTGAAACTCCGCTCACAAAATCAGAAAATCTCGTGGGATTGCACTCACCCGAACATCAACCAGAACTAACTGCCAAGCCAACAAGCCAACAACCAGCCATCATCACTTTCTTTGGTTTCATCATGATGAATCTCCCAGCAACAACAATGGCGGCCCTTGTCGCCATCATGTTCCTCTTGGTAGGCCAGAGCGAGGGATTCTCTGCCCACCCGATCCCAACCACCACTGCCACTCCCACCACCACCACCACAAGGTCCATTCGGAGCAGCAGCACAGTCGCCTTTTTGAAGATTGGACGGGATGATGCATCCGCCAACAAACAGAGATCCTTCCAACACAAATGGAATCACCGTGGACACATGAATTCCACTGAAGAGGTTTTCCATCAAGATACTCTAGAAGCTAGCAGTGTTGAGGTGGACAGTAATGATGCGAATCCCAAGCCAAAGCGCAAGGGATATCAACGCGCCGAAGACTGGGATGCCGAACAGAAAGCAGGCGGAATGACATGGGAGCAAAAGGTCCAATTCGATGGTCTGCGAATGGGAAATGGTTTCCGTCAGAACGAAATCTTGTCACGACACCTGAGCTCATTCTAACCAAGGAGGTTTGTTGCCGACCAAAAAACAATCCACATTCGAAGATCACTGGAGCACGCAATGTACTACCAACCAACCAAACAACCAACCTTCTTGAAAACACTGTCGAGGTCGTTGGCTTCACTCATCATTAAAGAAACTAGATCACTTATTACAAAGAAAAGTTTGTCGAGGTAATTGGCTTCACTCATCACTACAGGAACTAGATCGCTCAACACACCATACATCACCCTGCGCAAAGCTCTTGGGCTCCCAGTTTGGTTTGATGTCCGCTAGCATAGTTTGGTTGTTGGCCTACGTTGGGACAAACACCATGCTTTGGCCAACCCTCTCAGTGTCACTGCTTGTGGTTTCAGCGGGGCTTGTTCGAGGAGACGGCCGTCCCAACTTTATTCCAGCCTGACGACATGGCCTTCTTTGAGGAGTGGGGTTCTCCGGCCCATTTTCCAAACACTGGCGATGGCAAGAAGTGGCACTACGACAAGGGGGATTCTGTGAACGGGCTTGTGAACATTGATTGGCTCCTGCAACGCAGGCTTCGAATGACGCAAGCCTATGGTGCAGGCGCAAACTGCGGAACTTCCCGCTACAGTACCATGACGGGGCGATACCCCAGCCGGTCCGCCATGTCTCGTAAAGAGAACACGGGAGAAACAATCTCCTGGGCTAAAATTTCAAACACCAAGGTTCAAGACGTGGTAGACGTCGTGGATGGCGAAGATTGCACTGTCTACAACCTGGCACAGGTGCTGAAGGAAGCTGGCTATCGCACAGGGGCAGTCGGAAAGTGGCACTTGGCCAGGACAGAATCCCAATTTGACTACGATACGTTCATTGATGAGAACATGATTCCGTGCGGCTTTGAAACGGCGGAGGCCATCTACACTGTACCCTGAAAACCTCGAGGACAGCTGGAGTAACAACATTCGGGTGCACCACAAATGGAACACATCACAGACAAGGCATTTGATTTCATCACCGAGAATGACGACATGCCTTTCTTTCTCTACTTCAATCCAACAGCAAACCACGGTGACATCAATAGGGCTTTGACTCAATTCGACTGCACTGACACTGTGGAAGGACCCATTGAGGAACCGATGGTGCCAGGCATGACGAAGGCATATGGCAACTGCGCTGACTATCGCGATTCGATCTACAACCGGGCAGAGTCGACGCACAACTAGGTCCTTGGCACCATTTGGATTGACGATGCGGTCGGATCGCTGATTACGGCTCTAGAGAGGAAAGGCAAGCTGGACAACACATTCTTTTTGTTCCAAGTGGATCATGGTAGGGAGGGCAGAGACAATCTCTATGAACCGGGAGTCCGAATCCCAATGATCGTTCACTTTCCCGACGTGTTCGGGGCCAACGGAATGTCATGGGACGGCCTCGTATCAACTATCGACATTGTGCCCACTACATGTATCTTGGACTACGCCGGTGTTGCTGACTACTACGACATGGATGGAAAGTCGTGGAAAAATGCGGTTCAGAACAGTGCTAGGTTGGAATTCTGGCGTGATGAGCGCTGCCTCGTCTTCGAGCTAGACCGTGATCGTGCAGTTCGCTGTGGGTGTGACAAGTACATGGAACTCCCCGACTTGCTTCAAAGCGAGAAAGGCAGGATCAACGACGATGGCGTCTATCAGGACGAGGAGCTCTTGTTCAATGTCTGCGACGACACTGGCGTGTCTGTCCCATCGGGCGCTGCTTCACCGGAAGTCAATGACCTGAAGAGTTCCAAGCCAGGGAAACACGCCGCTATGAAATCCATTCTTTACAATCACATTGAATACACTCAGGCGGACAATGATCCTATGGAGTTCACACCTATTCAGCCCTAACCCGACACCGATTGCCGCCACAAAAACAACCCACAGTGAGAGAACCAAGTAAAAACTGACAACCGAAATATCGGTACGGTACCCCTTCGAAGGAACTTAGAAACAGCAGAAGATGAGTCTTTGACCAAAAAACAAAAACAAAAAGCATTCGACACGCACATTGCATATTATGGTTACACCCGTGATTCAGATCCATGAAAACTGACGGCCCTTTGCAAGCACCAACCCAGCCGGTCGTCAACAGAATAGTGAAAATCTTATGTACTTTGAAGTCTTTGAAGAGCCAGTTGTGAGATGCTTTTTGGCTGAGAGGGGAAGGTACTGTAAACTGTAAGGTAATGTACAGTAGTGTTCATCATTTTTATGTCTCAAGAATCCGAAGAGCCAGTGGCACAATACACTACAGTACCTTTATGGAGCCAGTGGCACAATACACTATCTTTATGGCCGACAGGGGGGGCTATTTTAGGCAGGAAGAGACGGAGAGGGTTTCCCACGATTCTACTTCTTCCTAAGGAGAAACAAAAGCATCAGCACCTCGCTCGCTCAGCCTGGCAATCGACCAGAGCTGTAATCTCGTAATCTCAGGTCTGCAGAACCGCATCTTGTTTGACCTTATCAAACATTTTTTAATCAATTGCAGCAAAAAGTGAGTATCTAAATATAATTTACTGGGATGACAGAGAACAAGCCTTCAGGCTGGAGTTCTGGTGCGAGTGCACGAGGCAACAAACTGTGGCTTGAGGTTGACTCTGTGGTACTATTTCTATGGTTATATCGATTGCATTCACACACACCATTGGTGTTAAACATCAATGGTTGTTGGCACTTTTTCGCCCATTGAGGGCTCTCAGTACTGCTCACTGGGGTGCATGGGTGAACCGGTGGAACGTGGTTTGTGACGGCATGTATTAAATAGTTCTTCACACTGTTGAGAAGTGTAGAAGGTTGTTTCTCATACGTTTGAAGATGTGAAGCCGTTCTTGATTACATAGAATGCAGTCATTTGTCCCGAACGTTTTGACTGTGGACAAGGGGTTGCCCTGCACAGTATTTTGAGGTTGTAGAGTTTCCGAATGTCAGATGCTGTTGGGTCTCCTGTGGTGGTTGCCACTGCTTTGGCAGCAAAGTGCCAAGCAAAGGTGTCCGAGTTCTTGGGTTTGTGTTTTTTGCCGCGTAGGAATGGCATAGGCGTTTTGTTTCACTGACATGTGATGACATTCTGAGCTTGAGGAAGTTTTGTGTGGCGCCGATGTAGGATTTGGGGCTGGATGCAGTATTGGGAGGTTGGGTGCTTGTTGCTTCATAGATGACAATGGGTTTTCTGCAGTGGTTGTTGTAGGCACATCCATCTGTCAAACGGTTGGTGCAGTTGCATGGGCGGGTTGTAAAGTCAAGGGAGACAATTCCAGTATTGAGCTTGGTCATAATGTCTCCATTGAAAATTTCTCGCAGGTTGGTGAATCTGTGGTATGACATTGCAGGTCTAATCCATTTGAGGGTTGGATACTTGTTTTGGATGAGGTTCTGAATCACTTTCCAAATGGGAGTTGTCCAAGCTTTGGAGTAGCCAATGCAAAAGTATGTTGTTCTTCTAGCATCTCGTTTCTTTTGTTGGAGTTGCCGGTTTGTTGGAGATTTGGGTTTGAAGATGTGGTTGGCTTCTCGAAGGGTGGAAATCTTTGGCGATTGTGTGCTTGTTGATGAGGTTGGCATGTTTCAAAGCTGCAAAGTGGTCAGGGTACAGATCATTGGAGTGATGTATCTGCATTATCTTCTGTGACTGTAGTGAGCTTTGCTAACATGTGACACACTCCTCTGGGAATGGAATCGAAGCAGGTTGATGTGTTGGAGCTGCCTTTGTTGAGGTAAATGGAGTTGTTGGTTGGGTTTCAGTGAATTTGAATTGAGATTCTGTTATTTTGCCAGTACAGATCCAGATCTAGGTATTGGAAGTGTGTTGCTGTGTTGACTTGTACTGTGCTTTTTTGTCGATGATTGGATGAGTAATTGGTTGAGTATCACTAGCTGCCCAGATTTCCATTGTGAATTGTAGGTAATCACCTTCAGCAATCTGGTTGATTCGATCTTTGAAGGTATTGCGCCATGTTAGTAGTTCATCATAGGAGCGTTTGCTAGGAATACCAGGAACCAATCATCTCGATACAGACCTTCATAGATGGTGTCTTCAAAGCATTCCTCAGTTCTTCAAGAGCATAAGCACCAGTGAGATCGGCAAGCCATGCAGATTCATTTCCTCCAATGGTCAGACCTCGTTCAGCTGGGTTTTTGTCACCATCATATTCATAGTAACGGTCTTGGAAAACAAAATAAGTGGATTGCATGCCAAATGTGGATCATTTCCATGCATAGTGCAATTGTGTCTTTGACTGATTGTGGCAAGTGTCTGGAGAAGTGTTTCACTCGCATTTTCCACTAACTTGTATCGGTACGGAAGGATAGAATGCTTCACGTCAAGTGAAACGATGGTACAATTGTTGGATTGAGATTGAGGGTTTCTAATTTTGGGTTCTCAGGTCTAGCCTGATTGGCATGATGGTTTTGACCTTGGTAATCGATGTTGTGTTCTTCAAAGATCTTTTTGATTTCCAAGTAGCCCATTTTGGGATAGGCTGCTACAAAGATCTGAGCAGGTACGAGCAGGCGAGTTGTATAGTTGCCATTCTCATCTGGATGCTTGTGATCTTTTCACTGTCAGTTTGGGGGTGGGAATGCATGGGATCGGAGGATTGACTTATAAAGCCATACTCTCCAGATGATAGATGTGGTTTAATTTTCCGTAGTAGTTCAAGGCCTTGTACTTTACCTGGTGAAGATCTGAGTGGGAAATAGGTTTGGCCCGTTGGCTGAGATGCTGTAGTACTTGGCTAATGTAGAACTGTTTGGATGTGAGACTGAAGGAGTTTGTTGTCGTGGAAACTACAATATCTGGATTGTTTTGAGAAGTGTTGCATGTGTGGATGTCTGGGTGGTTGGGTCAGAGAAGTAATGTGTTGGTAGCATAAACCATATTGAGCACTGCTCTATTAAGATCTTTGAGGAACAATTCCAAGTCATGGCTGCCTTGTGCTGTCCACAACAGCGGGTGGGTTTGAGGTTGTTTTGAGACCAACTGTAGTGCAGAGATAGATGGAAAGAGCTAGAATTGGATGTTGGTTGGTTGAGTTGTTCGTGTTTTTGTTTTTGTTGGTTGATGAAATCTTCTTTGAGGCGGACTGTGGTAGCAAAACGTTTGAGGCCTTTGAAGGCATCTGTAGCTACGACATCAAAAGGAGGGTGGGGGACAAACTTTTGGCTGGTTCCTGTCACTATTCGGTGTACCTCATCCGTAAGGGAGAGATTTGTAGGTTCTGGGTGTATTGGAGTAGTGACAATGTCGGTTGTGCCCATCGCATTATCGTGAGGTGGTGTGGTGTGTGTGAAGCCAGGGTTGTTGTGTTCTTCGAAACTAAAGTCGGAGATTGTGGAAATGCTGAAGGTGTCTTGCAAAGAATGGTCGTCAGTCATCATTGTAGTGGAAACCAATGTGTCTAGGCTGCTCATGGAGATGTCATCCAAAGGGACGATATCTGTTGGAGTAGGCACATAGATGGTTTGGCACGGAACTTCCCAATGATAGTTGGTTCGAGTTAGGGGATGCTCGAGTTGTCCTGCTACCCAATGGTAGTTGGTAGCTCGAAGAATTTTTTCGGTGACAGCAGGGTTCTGGTTGTGGCGAGCTCTGTTGGATCGTTGATTTATGATTGTGTTGAGTCTCTGCCAGTCAGGTGTTGTTGTTGTGTCTGGTTGTAGAGAGTCTGTGTGAAAGGTGGCCAGGGGAAAGGTATCAATACTAGAAGTATCCTCGAAGTTGAGTGGCGTCATGGTTTGGGTCGAGTTCTCATCCCAATTGTGGGGACTCCACGGTATCTCTGAAGATGGGTTTCTGTACCAATGGTGTTGGGTAGTTGTTGGTGATGTTTGGACACCTATTGTATTTCCTGTATGTGGGTGGAATGATTTTGGGCTTAGATTATGTGTTGGACTCGTAGGTGCCATTCCGATGGTAAACCTTTCGATGATGCACAGTGGTACCAGTATGGCTCAACACTCAACACCTCCCCTCTCCCCCTCGCCCCTAAATAATTAAAAATGATGATTGCTACTATTAATTAATAGTACATAATATATGGCAGTCGTCATTGGCGTGACTGGAGGCGCTTCTTTTAAATCCGAAGGTCACTTTGCTGGCACACTTAGAATAAATCTGAAGGGTTCGGTCACACATGAACAAAATGGCCAAACCACGCGGTCAAACTCGCGACCGGGAATCCGATACCGGTACATGACATTGTAACACACAGCGCTCACACGAGAGAAGAGACCGAGCACTCGAGTTGCGAAGCGAAGAAGCCGAGCCAAAAGGGAAAACACGCCTTCCTCTCATTTTTCTTTCTTCTTGGCACAATTTTGCAAAAAGTACCATACCTGTGGAACGAAGAGAAACTAATCATGGCAGAGCGTGTTGAAAGCGATGACTCGAGCATGAGTATCTTCCTGGATGATATCGAAGGCATGGACGACACCTGCATCTTCGACGACATCATTCCAGAAGAGGAAGAGAATTGCCTTGAGGATCCCGGTGAGCAACGAAAGTTCAAGTTGGCGACGAAGGAAACTCGGAATGTGTTGATCCTTAGGATCGCAGTTTCTTTTGTTCTGCTGTGTGGAGCTCTCGGGATATCCTTGACCGTATTTAGATACAGCAGAGAGAACGAAAAGCAAGCTTTTGAGCAAGCTTTCGCGGACAGCAGTCGCAAGCTTGTCGACCAGTAAGTCCGTGCCATTATTGGGATGATCATTAGACACGGACACCAATTCTCAAATTCATTCTCTTTTGTTCAGCTTCCTTTTGAATGCCAAACGTCGCGTTGATGCAATCAACAATCTTGCAACGGCCATAACATCGCACGCACTGTCTTCCCCAGACAGATGGCCATTTGTAACCATTCCAAACTGGGAGAGACGAGTAACCGGTGTCTTGGACCAAGCGCAGATTATTTCACTCACTCTAATGCCAATTGTCACAAACGAGACGCGTCCCATGTGGGAAACATATTCAGTCTACAAGCAAGAGTGGTTCTTAGAAAGCATGACAGTTCGCCGAGAAGAGCAAGTGGCACTGAAGGGCGAGGACACTGTGGCAAGAGACGAAGCAGAGAGCTTGACAGCATTGGAAGCTGTTGGAGATGGATTGGACAAGACCTTCCGTATCAATCCATCCATTTATCGAATAGATGGATTGAACGCAGCACCGGAGACTACAGATGGCCCTTATCTTCCAGTAAGTTCCTTCCTATCTCGCATCACCATGTGTCGACCGAAAAGCACTCAGCCATTCCGATGCACCTTCCAGGTATGGCAGTTTGCGCCAAGTATTCCTATATCCGACGTTGTGAACGTAAGAGATGGCGTGATTGTGCGTTTGATCATCCTTCGACTTCATGTCTAACCATAGTGCAGTTCAACACACTCTCTCACCCTTCCTACGCGTTGGAGGCGGCCAGCTGCATGGCACATCAGACTACTGTGATTGGGAGAGCTTTTGACTTCTCAAATGAGACCAACCCTGAAGTTGCGGGTAGAAAGGCATTCTTGAATCTCTTTCTCAACCGTTGGAGGAATGGTGGCAACGACTATGAGGATGGTCCAGTCAGCGACCTGTATTTGCCCATCTTCAACGACTTTTCGAAGGACAAGACCATTGTCGGGGTTCTACTTGCTAATGTCTACTGGCAGATCTACTTCTCCGACGTGCTTGCTGAGAATGCTCATGGTGTCGTAGCAGTTCTCGAGAATCAATGCTTGGGACCCCCCTCGCAATCCTTCACTTACATCATCCATGGGGAAAAGGCTCGCTATGTTGGAGCAGGTAAGCTTTTCCTCGTCTGACTCGGACTGTCACTTCAAGTGAAAAATGCCGGCTCTCACTAGATGGATACTTCTTTGCAAGGCGACCTGCATGACGTACAATACGATTACCTCGAAGCAGAAACAGGGTTTGGAGCCTTTCTGCCGGGAGAAGGCCGAGAAGGAATTGACTACAATTGTATCTACAACGTCAGGGTCTATCCGTCTAACGAAATGCAACGGGGTTTCTTCACGAACACTCCTTACGTCTTTGCTGGATCTGTACTGGTCGTGTTCGTCTTCACATCTCTGGTAAGTGCAAGAGAGCTTTGTTGCGTTCCATTGTTGCCATGTGCCACCCTCATACTTCCCGGGGCGACTTCCGTAGATCTTCCTGACGTATGATCGATGTGTTCAGAGACGGCAAAGGGTTTTGAAGAAGACTGCAGAAGATTCAAACGAAGTGCTCGCATCTTTCTTCCCTCCAATCGTCAGGGAACGTTTGTTTGGACCGCAGACGTCGGCAACCCTGTCTGACAGCTCAACCACTCGTAGATCTAGCAGCACGGCAATGTCCAAGAGCCTCACTCGAAGATCCAGCACGTCTTTCAGCGTCTCCAACAAACATACCAAACGTCGTCAATCCAGCATGCCCGAACTCTCACCAAGCTATGACCTGGAAGAGGTGGTAGTCGACGACTCTCTACCAATCGCAGACCTCTACGAGAATTGCACCGTCTTCTTTGCGGGTAAGTGTATGCAAACCTGAAAGAGCCACACGTTTCTGCATTCCGCTTTTTCCCACCATCCTCACGAAAGCGTGTGCCTTCGTAAAGATATCGCGGGATTCACGGCAAGTTTCTTTCAGCTGTCCAAATTTGCTTGCATTCCTATTCCCTGTTTGGTTTCCCCTCACATGTTAGTCGGGAATTACCATCTGTATGATCTAGGCCTGGAGTTCCAAGCGACAACCAGGTGAAGTTTTCAAGCTTCTGGAGGTAATTTTGATTTTGATTATTCAAGTCAGCGTTGACCCCAAGAAAAAGTGCTTCAACTAATGTCATCGTGTCGTGTCATTCCAGACTTTGTACGGGTCTTTCGACAGGGCGGCCAAGCGCATGGGAGTTTTCAAAGGTAGGAACCGTTTTTGCTCGAGGAAGTCCCTTGGAACAGACGGTGTGTGAATCCTTGAGTTGCACTAACCAACACTGTTTGACTTCTCACTGACCACAGTCGAAACAATAGGTGGGCTCAGCTTTTTGCCTATTTCGTAAAGGACTACGGTCATCGTTTTCTCACACTGATCGCCCGTGTCAATACCGCAGGCGACTGCTATCTCTGTGTTACTGGTGCGTGCACTGTTATGTGGCCCCCGTTGCCCGATCGGTCTTGAAAAGGTGTTTTGCCTTCTCATTCTTTCCGTTTTGCTGTGCTTCTCAGGCCTCCCATCGCCCCAGGTGCTGCACGCGGTTATCATGTCAAGGTTCTCCGCCCGGTGTCTAGTTGAAATGACACAGGTATGCAACAAGTTGGTGGCTTTGCTAGGGGAAGAAACTGCGACGCTGGGATTGAGAATCGGTAGGTGACGATACGGCCACACGCTCAAAGGAACTCTTCGAACTCGTCCAGCTTATCCTTTCGCTCGCTCTCAGGTCTTCACAGCGGCCCGGTTACAGCAGGGTGAGTTGGAGCGCCGTCCGATCGACCTTAAACTTTGTCCGTGTTTTCCTCACGACTTGAAACCTGATTCTGTTGCCCACATTCTTGACACAACTCCAGCGTGCTGAGGAACGACAAGTCGAGGTACGACAACGCTTCTGATTGAGCCATCTGCCACCGTACTATCATCCCTTACCCTCACTTTTTGTTAGATATCAACTTTTTGGGGATGTAGGTTTATTGCTCGCTTTCCACCGTTTGTACTGTATGGAGCTTGTTCAAAACTCACATGCTTCTTTTACCTCGCTGATTTCTACGGTAGACTGTCAACACTGCAGCACGGATGGAAAGCAACGGCCAAAAGGGTCGCATCCAGATTTCTCAGCAAACTGCAGACCTTCTCAGAGAAGCTGGCAAGGGTGATTGGGCGCGGCCTCGGAAAGGCCAGATAGAAGCAAAAGGCAAGGGCAGATTGCAGACTCATTGGTTGGATCCCAAGAAAATAGACTTTGGACTCTCCCAGAACCAACTCTCCGTGTCTTGCATATCAAACAGGACAAGACTTGGAGATTCTCCTCCCCTTCCTCCTCCTATCAATCCAAGTCGGCGATGCTCCATGTAACTCCTTTCACATACGATCATCTAATGACATACAGCTTGAATACACCATATGATAAGCCCATACCATAGATTCTTTCACCCCTTGTCTCCGCGTCTTGACCCACTGCCAGCTAGAGTCCTTATAGGCTTGTCTCTGGGTTTGCGATGTCCGCCTCGCTGGGACCTTACGACTCACGGTACAACTGTACGGGGAAGGAGTTCCAAATGGGAATTTCGGGGTGGCAAAGGCTTACTGCTGGCTTAAAAGACCAGAAACGAGAACTCGCCCTCGCAAAGCCAGCACCTTGAGGTAATCCACTCAAATTGAGTCTATTCTCCTTTTTTCAAAAACATTTTCTTCAAAAATATGTTCCCCAGACTGAAAAGGAAACAGCCTACCAATCTGAATCTGAATTTTAAGAGCCTAATTAGGCTCTTAAAATTACAACAGGCTCTTAGAATTCAGATCTGAAAAACCAGATTGAATATCTAGCCAATTTACACTGGGATCTGAGTTTTCAATTTTTCAATCTTAATTCTAAGAGCCTATTTAGGCTCTAAGAGGCTTTGAGAATTCAGATTCAGATTATTCAACTTCAACAGGCCTTGTGGAGTCCTGCATGTCTCTTTGCTTCATTTTACATTTTCTGAACAATTAAAATTTGAGCTTTTTCTTCCATTTGGAGGACATTACCCCAAGGAGCAGGGGCAACAGCAACGGCAAATCGTAATTTTGACGAAGGCATTGCAAGGGTGAAGCGCGCCAAGGGTGCACTCGGTGCTGTAGTCTTTGGTTGTGTCGTCGCGTTTCGTTGGTCTTCCCTCTCAGTGAGGGCCAGTTTGCCTCATCCGATTGATTCCCGAAACTGAGAACTCGTCATGGATCCCAATGCAAATGATCATGGCGGTATGGATACTGATTCTGATCTGAAGATCCTGTCCATGGACTCAGCAACGCTCAAGTCTGTAGTCAAGAGTGAGCTCCTCGCCTCTGGTCTCACCTGTCACGTGATGGCGGAGCAAGTTTTGGGATTTTTGGCCAAAGAGTGTGTCCTCAAGTGTCTGGAGGTAGAGGATTTGTGCCAGCGTTTTGATCTCAAGAGTTACTACTGTAGTATACATGGTACTAAGCTGGAATCTCAGGTGGAACGTCGCAGAGGCCTGGAAAACATGGCTGGAACTGATGACGACCAGGGCGAAAATGCAGATCAAATTGGCAATAATGACAACGTTGCAGCTGAGGTGAACATTGAGTGTGAAGATTGTGTGGAAGCAGAATTTGATCGAGAACGATGCAATTATTGCGAGCAATTCGAAAACATGGATGAGCTGCATCAATGCAACAAGTGCAGTTACCAGGAATGCGGGCCATGTTTTGAAGGCAATTCAATGGATTATTGCAACTCCTGTGAGGAGATGTACTGTGGAAGAGAGGGTTGTGAAACATTCGAGAATTGTGACTGTGGGGAAGGTTTCTGTTCCGTGTGCCAAGAGGAAAATTTTCGCGCGTGTCTGCGGTGTGGCACCAATGGGTGCATTGATTGTTTTTATGATTTTGGGTTCCGTTGCAACCAATGTGACAAGACATTCTGTCACGATTGCCAAGACAATGGCTATTGTGAGAGGTGTGAACATACGTTTTGCTCTGCCTGCAAAGAAATTTGGTATTGTGGCTGTGATCATGGTAGTTGCTATGACTGTGATGAACCAGTCAAGTGTGAAGTATGTAACCAGCAGCATGGTTGCAGTGACTGTAGCTACGGAACGTGCTTCTGCTGTGGAGGTTGTGCCAAAACGTTTTGCCGTGAGAAATGCAAAGAGTTCACTTCCTGCGAAATCTGTTACAAAGATTATTGCAAGGAGTGTGACAATGGCTGGTTTTGCTCTCCCTGTCGAGAATATCATTGTTCTGCCCATGGGAAATACTTTGACTGCCAAGAATGTGGAAAAGGCTCTCATGGGGAGAAGTTCCAGTGCGCTGAATGTGAGACGGTGAGCTGTCATCGCTGCAGCAAGGTATGTTCATGTTTCCTAGCCATCATCATCCATGTTCATCTTTCCTACTAGAGGGTCCTGCTCTTTGGCCAACTCACGCAAACGGTTCCTTGATTGTGCGTGTTTGGCAAGGTCTATGCTTGCCCAGAGTGCTCCAAGGAAATCTGTGCTGATTGCCAAGATGTTTTTGAGATCTGCTGCTGCAAGGGAAAGGGAAAGTTTGCTTTTAAGAAGCGCAACTAGCTGGCTTTGCTGACAGACAGAAAGAAAGAGAGAAAGCCAGGAGGGGATATGAACTGAAACTGCACAATGCAAAAAAAAAAAAGACAAAAACAACAATCTTCATCAATTTATTCAGAACACAACACAACACACAAGGCTGAAAAATGGGTCCATCAGTCGAGACTGCAGTGCCGGGTTTTCGGGTGGGTTATCGTTCTTGCATGTGCACATCAAGTGTGAAGAAAGAACAACTAAACTAGGGGATCTTTGGTTGAATAGGTGTACTAGTAGTTTGTTGTGATATGTCTGCACTTGCTGGATCAATTATAGCTGTCCCTCGGCGCCGTAACTAGCGAGGGCTTGGATTTGATACTGTATCAGTCATTTTTAAAAGCTCCCAACGGTACCGGTACAGTGTACAAGTTGCATGTCCTCTCATCAGAGTCAGTAGCCAGGCGGAAGTGGTGTCATTGTGAGTGGGAACAATGATTCAACAACAAGAGCAAGTACGATGTACTTGTACCGGTGAGCTAGGTAGCTCTACAAGGAGCAAGCCAGAGTTGCGCGACAATCGGACCGAAGCTGGAAAGCCCAGAGCTGCGATCCTGTGATGTGCAAGGCTACGTGTTAGTTAATGCTTTGTGGTTATGAGAGCATTAAACAAAGCAACCACGAAACAAACAACAACAACAAGACAGAGAAAGGAGCGAGATCATTCGATTCACACAAAACCTTCTTTGGTTGAGAGTTGAGAGGGGGCCATTACATACATGTACTGTATCGGGTTAATCATTCATTCTCAGGTTACCGGTACCTCCATCGTTGTTGACCTCAGCGTTCACCATTGAGGTTCCTTTCTATTGACGTTCGCTTGTGGGAAGCAATTCTTGCAGCAATGGCGTCAAACTATGCCAAAGGACTCTTTCAAAACCTCGCCAAGTCGCTTCGCGAGAGGATACCCTTGAAGACACCACGGCCTCGATTAACTCCGCCAACAACGGAATCATCTGTCTCAAAGGCAAAATCCTCGGCATTGACGACAAAGCAAGGGGCAGCTTCTTACCAAGCATCTGCCAAGCAGTCTTTGGATTCTTGGAAGCAGACCGTGACATCAACGCCCTCGTATCAATCTGCCAAGGATTACTCAGACAAACTTCGAAGAAGCACCCATCAGACCGCGGAAACCTTGGCCAAACAAATATCCACCGACACTGTCAGATCCAGCCTTGATAAGTTGGCCACCCCTGCCCAGCAAGTGCTCCAAAAAACAACAAAATCTGCCTCGGATCGTATAGCCTCCACGGGGACAGCAGCTCGCGTCGCCCAGCAAAAAGTCAACGCCCAAGGAAAAGCCTTACTGCAATCATCATCGGAGAGAATATCCAAATCAGTTTCTACTGCTGCACACGTGGCCAGCTCTACGGTGTCTGGTGCGGCGCAATCGACCAAGGATACTGTGGTGTCGGAGCTTCGAGTAATGCGGAAAGATGCCTTTCGGTGGCTTTGGTGGTGGTCATTGGCGGCCATTGCAATTTACGGTGTTGCCACGACATTGCCTGGCGAATTGCTACGAGAGTATCATCGACGCAGTGACAAAGGAGAATCTCAAAGGGAAAAAGGACAAGCAAGGGAAGAAGAGGAAGTGTCGAAGAGCAAACAACCAGAGGACCAGTTGACAAGATTCTCATGGACAGAGTCACTCTCTGGATGGAATCCTTTTGCCACCAGCCAAAGTAGCAATAAAGACGACGACACCAAAACTCAACAACAAACATCGTGGTTCCACCAACTTGGTTGGCCGAGTAGCTCCGGAAAGAAAGAGCAAAATGTCAACAATTCGACACTTTCAGATTGGAGCTGGACTGCCGGGCAGAATAGTAGTGGAGACGACAAAGCCCATTCCAGCGAGTCTTCGTCATTATGGACTCGGTCCAGCAAATGGAATGGTGGAAACGAAGAGTCATGACACAAATAATTGACTGCGTATTCTCTACCGATCCAATCAAACGTAGAACAACCAACAAAAAAGCTTGTAAAGCAGCACTCCCGCCCGAGAGCACTGCACTTTAGACAGAGACGTGCGACGAAATCACCAGTGCTCTAGCTATTTCTAGTCCAATTTACGATCTAGCTAGCTACCGGGCTACCACAATATTGTACACAGTTTATTTCCCAGTTAGCTTCCTGCTTGTCAAGTATCTATCATAGCTGATACCGTTTTGAGACAGCACCACGTTGCCGTTCCCGACTGCAAAGTAGCGCAGGTATAGTTACAGGAAGTTCCGCATCACTTCCGCACGCTGACAGGCTGCTGGAATCTCACTCCACTCGACGATACCCCAATGTTGCTCGCACTATGCGGTACCACTGATTGTCTTTCTACAGCACTCGAATTAATCGAATCCGATCTTCCGAGCACAAACCAACGTTCATCATCATCACAAAGTAGTGGACACAGGCGTTCAACAAAAGCTGTCACACTTGATGCGGCGAAGCTCTTGCAATCTCTCTGCCTTGAGCAATCCTTTGCGCTTCAAGGATCGCTGGGCCGCCAACCACCGGCCGAGTTCGCCATCGCTGTCTTTGTTCTTGTTGGCTGGAACTGCCATGTTTCCATGGCGCTTCTCGTAGTCGAGCAATTGAGCAATGCGTTCTTCAAACTTGACAAAGAGAGTCGGCTGGCCGCGTTTGCCGTGATTCTTTTTGTTGCTTGGCCTTGGTTGCGGCTTTGGCCTTGTGGGTAGCGATGCCACTGCAGGAGGAGACGGCGCTTCGTCGTCTGTAAAACGGCCGGGACGGCGGCTGACACGCTGCTTTTTGGCAACCTGCTGGTGCTCTGCAGAGACGGTGGCATCGCAGATGATGGGTGAACAAAGTGCAGCCTTTCTCTTCTTGGCGACGGTTTCATTCGGCTCTCTGGATTCCGATGACGATGGGCTCTTTGGGGCAGCGGTTTCCTTCGTAGGAGCTTTGCGTTTGCTTCGAGACTCGGTACTGGTGTTGGTTTCCTTCTCCGCACTCTGGTTCGATTTGGAAGTTCCGCCCTTCTTCTTCGGCATGGGATCGCCCCTCTTGCCAAATCCAGGTACCTTGAGTTCTCGAAAGCGGTTCACTCTGTTCGAAGTCAAGAGGCCTTGACGATACTTGCATCGTTGGTTGCTGATGAACTGACTCAGATTGCGGTCCCCGACGCTAAAGTTGGCGAGTTCGCCGTGGCGTTTCTTGTACTTCTTCATTTGGACCAGGCGCTCTTGAAAGGAGACATGATTGCCATTGCTGCTCTGTCCATTATGAAGAACAAAGGATTCTTCGGAAGAGACAGAGCGTGAAGATTCGGTGCTGCAAGGGCTACCGCCATCCTCCTCGTCCACACTGGAGTCGTCGTCGGCGCCGCTGGATCGGCTCTTTGTTGGCGTCGGCATTCGATGAATGGTGTACTGGGCCTCTCCGTTCCGGATTACCACGACCGTCTGCGCATACTCTTCCAAGTCGTCCTCTTCCTCGTCGATGTCCTCTTCTTCCGAGCTGGACTCCTCCTCATATTCGTAAAAGTGCTTGAACCCAGTATGCTCCTCATGGGAAAGGGGAGAAATGGTGCTGCCACCTGCCACTGCCGACGACGAGTGTAGATGAATGGTCATGTCATCGTTAGTGTCGGTGGTGACATTGCACCAACGCCTTGCCTTCATAGAGTCGGGAATTGCTTGTCCCATGATTCGAGGCGACGACGCCGTTCGGTCCCGCGAAAGCCTTGGCAAGATGCTCGAGTCTCCGGTGCGATAGGGGTTTGGAGTCAACTCATGTTCGGCAGCGAGAAGCAGAACATCCATTCGTAGACGTTGTCCTCGAGTCGAGTAGTCAATGCCGAAAAGATCAAGAGAAGGACTTGGCTCCACTGGTTGGCGGTGCAATCGAGTCGTTGTCGGTGCAGCACTTGACAAATCGGAAAAGACACACGGCTGCTGCTGGTTACGATGATGAAGGTAGAATGGAGCATGATCGCCTTGTGTAGAAGTACCGACGACGAGTTGCCTATCGCTCTCTTGCACTGCACCACCTGCACCAACAAAGGAATCATCGACGACGGAGGCATCGTCGAATTGATCGGGAAATGCACTGCTCGCCTTGTCCAAGAGAGACTCCTGCTCGTCTCCAAGCTGACGAGGACCACAACCAAGCAGATTCTGCGGTCGAACCCAAGGGACGCGAGATATCTTGTTCATATGCGCCATGGTGGAGGAATTGCCTGTGTTGTTGTGGTTGATGAAGGCTATCTCGGACGAAAAATGAGGGCTCCAAGACGAAAAATAAAGGACAGAGCGAAGTGGTGTGTGACTGAGAGTGTCGAAGTTTGAATTGAATGGAAAAGATTTAATGCAAAGAAATAAGCGCCCAAATTCAAAAAAGTTCATGCCAACTTTCCGAAAGGAATTCATGCTGGGAACTGGGAAAAGTGCGCATCGGTCCTGGTACCGGTACCCGTGGTACTACCCTACCGATAGCCCCAGGCGGTCAGTAGCTTAGTTAGATCTCGTGTTGGTTCAGAAAGAACGACAGTGGTGAACAACCAAGAGCCACAAAAGAAAAAGCCGAGTTGAGAGGCTCTGTCTTCTTTTTGCAAAAGCGAGAACATTTTTGCACCTCGTCTAGTGTTAATAGCTAGAAGAACGAGCAGATGGCGGTATCCAATTGCACCGCAAGTTTTAATCATGAGTATTTGTATTTCCAGCGCTTCATTCTTTAGCTAGCTAGTGTATAGATAGATTTTGTAATTGAGGATCTAAACAAGAGCTCGTCCGTGGAACAAAAAGAACCTGCATCGCTTCTGTATCAGAGAATATGTACTCTTTTTATCTATGTATTGACGAAAGGTCTGGTGAATTCTAATGCCAAAAATGAGACCACATGAAATCATCCAAACAGGTTGTTGTCTAGAGTTTCTTCTCGCCGAGTTTGGCTCCTGCTTTCTCTGACAGGTTTTCTTTTGATGAAGCAGCCTGGTCCGTGCTTTCTTCTGTCACAGATTCTTCTCTTCCTTCTTCACCTTTCTCACCATCGCTGCTACCGGCATTGGGCACTACTCCGAAATGCCTGGCAACCACAGGAACAACGGCCGCCGAAGTGCCAAGCCTTATTGGTTCCGTAAACTTGGTAGTGATCCAGGCAATCGCCAAGTTAGCCAAATGTGGTTTCTCCTGGACCGTGTCTACAAATGGCTCGGTGAGGGTATATTGCTTCATCAATTCGGCCAAAGCTTCTGCAGTACTGCCAACTTCATCATTGCTGCCATTGATGTAGCCCAGCAGGGTGACCGGATCCAACATTCCCGATTCCACTCCAACATACAATCCCCCCAACGTCAATGCGTACACAGAAAGGTAGGTCCACAGAAAGGTCGGCCCATACGTATTCATCATCCTTCCAAATTTCCCGCCGCCATCCTTGGCTTCGTCGGCAAACTGAGCATCCAAGTCACCGTTGTAGGTAGCCTTCTTTCTAGCCTCGGCAGTGGTGGAAAAATACATTCTGCCGTTGCCAATGGAAGCCGTCCATAACGGGTGCCATGGTTGTGGGTGGAGACTTTTTTCTTCATTATCTCTCTGCCTGCTGCCGTTGCTGTGGAACCAATGGGATGCCGACACGGTTACTAGTGGATTGCGGAATCGTTGATGATGCTCAGGTGACAGAACATGGCGACTTGGAAGCTTCCGCCTGGATAGGCGAAGCAGTAGGTTTTGCTGCGAAGAAAGCATTGAAAACTTTTCAAAGAATAGGAGCTCTATCGATGGATTGAGGTGATGGGTCTGATGGAATGCATACAGGTCATCGTGGAATCGCTTACTCGTATCGCTTTGGCAACTCCCTCCTCGGACGGGTGGTCGACGTGTTCTTTGCTTGGGTTGAGAAAGATCCGGTTACCTGAAAGTGGCCGTTACAATAATTGAGTCTGAGTCAGGTCGTCTCTAAAGCTGCCCGGGAATGAATAAAGCCTGTAAGGCTGGAGACAAAATTTGGACCTTGGCCAAGGAAAGCTGGTTCGACCTCATCAAGGTCAGGAATGAGACTGGTGCCAGGTCATCCATCTGCTCAAGCAGAGGCCATGGCGACGAATATTTTCATTGAGTACACAGTAGCTTCTAGTTATAGGATCGACACAAAGGGGACTTCTAGTTGGTAGATTATCAGGTGATGGAAGCAGGAGATGCTTCCAATCTTGCCGGCAACTCCACTTGGCTGATTTCGTGCATATCCCATCTTTACATCCCTTGACGGGCGGTATGGATGCCCACGGAGGAAGGGTACCGAAGTGCGAAAGTAACCTTGCAATCGCACCAATACGATACAGGCTGAGCCCGATCAGATCAGATTCGATTCGATTCGATTCCCGGTCAAGGCAGCCTTCTAAAGCTTGGTGCTTCTTTTGACTGGTTCCGGATGCCCCAGCTAGCTAGCTAGCTAGCTAGCCACCCAACCAAACCAGCCAGACAACTGTCTCCTCTTAACCGATCTTGGCCAAGGGAAACTCCAACTGCTCGCGTTCGTCCTCGTGGCATTACATTGTCATGACATTCCATCTGTCAGCTCTATTTTGCAAGAGTCCTGACCTTTGGGCTTCCGTGGCAGATCTGCGAGGTCTTTGTTCAGAAGCGGAAACCAAGCGGAGTTTCGAAGAATACGGGAACCATGCCGGGATCTCAAATTTTGACAACCAAGTCAAGGCTCCCTCACAAAACACTCCACTTTCAGAACCAAGTCAAAGCTCACAAAACCGAAGATAGATCATCATCAATCATCATCATCATCTGCACACAATTCAAGAGTTCTTTCACCTCCCACTCCATCCACTGAACTATCCCAATACTCAACCTACTTTCGTATCAGAAATTTTTTGACCATGACCAACCAACAAATTGATCAGCACTTTGAGAGATTCATCCAAAAGCACTCACATCCATGCTACGAAGACTGGATTGCAGAGTTACACCCAGAAGACGCCTCGGAAGGACTGCTTGGATTGGGCCAGACTATTATCGAATCAAAGTTCTACGAGGCTGATAATGAGTATTTGAAGTACTGGAACAAGCATTTAGATTCGTCGAGGTTTCCGGTGCAGTCCATTTCCAGTCACAATGATGGAAACAGCAGTGACGAGTCTGGCTTCCATGATGGCTACTACCGAGGCATGGATCTCTTATCCGGCGGCGACAACGACGGAGACTCGCAAACATCACCACAATCCAAAGCCAAGCGAACTAAAGACGTGCAACTTGCACCTGGTGAAGATCTGTTGAAGTTTGATTAAGCTTGAAGGAACCAACAAAAAGGGCCGAGTAGTTTCGGTTTAGAATGCACGTTAGAGAGTGTACACAGACAATTATTAGAAACAAAATAGCAAAAATATCTCCATTATATTGTTTGTGCATGCTACTAGTATTGTGGCATGCCCTTGTTCCTGTCCTGTATTTCTTGCATCTGAGAAGCTGTTGTTCCAATCAGCACCGCCAAGAATGTCCCACCTCATCTATCTTTGTCATGACTCCACAAAAGCAATCGAATCCAAGCCTCTATGAGGGTGCAGGTTTCTTGAAAGACAAGTTCACTCCCATTCGCTGAAGAATATCGATCTTGTCATGAGGCAGCTTCCCCTTTCGGAACTGATGTCGCTGAGATGCCAGCCACCGTCCAAGTTCCTTGCAATCGTCGTGCATCATGATTCGAACTTCACAGTGTCCATTCTTGCGCTACAAAATCAACGATCAGTGAGAGGTGGTACAAAGCACCACAAGCTAGCAAGCCTAAGCTGAGGCCTCACTTACCTTGAATTCCATCAGCTGCTCTAGTCGGTCGTGCCACCCAATGTACTGACCTCGCTTTCTCGAGGCCCTCGGTGGTCTGTTTCCGTCCTGTTCGGCCATCTTTGTATCTCCTTGCTGCTGCTGAAATACCTGAGAGTGGATTGCCTCTGCGGAGTGCATCATTTTCTTCTTTGGTGGAGGGGCCATGCGACGATGATGATAGGGTCCGGGGTGGGCAAAGACCGGTGGAGCAGGGTTGCGAAACTGCTGTGGGTTGCCGCCAAAGTGGTCTGCAAAGCGTACTTCTTCCTGTCTAGAATGAGGTGCCGTCGAGGGTGCAGTCTTGACGGGAGCAGCAGAGGGTTCAAACCCAGGACAACCAAAATAGGAGTGAAGTACGCTTGCTCGATCTGATGGTAAGAGGCCTTTCTTGTGGTTGTGACGCTGTGTAGCCAACCAGAGCGCAAGTTCTTGGTGTTCCTTTTTGTTTGTGGCTACGGATGTTGTTGACACGTTACAGTGCCCAAATTGACTCTTGAAGGCCCCGAGTTGGTGTAATCTATAGTTCCACAAAGAATCGTCGCTGGTGGAACGAGATACCACCGGAAACGGTCGGTGCATAGGAGGCATAGCCATGGGATGAAAAGGCGGTCCAAGACTTGAAGAGAATGAGCTCCTGCTGCTTCCCATAGGATGATATGGAACGGGAGCATGCCCATGGTGAAGGTGAATGATGGGGGTAGTCTCCCCTGTCGAGCTTTTTCGGCCAGGGTGCTTTGTTGACGCCGAAACTTTAGTAGTTGTGATATCCCTAGATTTGCGCTTTTGATCAGAACCTTCTTTGTTGACGTTGGGATGACTTTTGTCATTATTTGTAGCAGATCCCCCAACCTTGACATCGCCCTCACCAAGTTGCTGAGACTTATGATGCTTGGGGACCTGCGCGGATATCACTTGTGATGGTTTTTCGGTTTCATCAAATCCCATGCAATCCAGCTCTCTCAAACGCTTTGCCTGAGCTTGTGGCAGTTGCCCTTGGCGGAATTGGCCCCGGAGATCCGACAGCCATAGTTCTAGTCCCCGGTGTGCTCCCTCCTGACTGGTTTCCTGTATCCGCACATGACCATAGCGCTGAAAGAACCTAGTCAGCTCCTGGTAATGCTCCTCAAAGCTCTTGCAAGGCGTGGGTGACTGGTTATCCTCTTGGCTAAAACACGAATTTGGAGAAGATTCTCGAGAAACCTGCACCACAGTGGAAGAATTAGACGAAGGAAGTTGCGTGGGAGCTTCGTTGGTGAATGTTGGCAAAAACGGAGGTTGTTGTAGATTGACAGCGTTGATCTCCTCTCGACAATGCCCAGGCGATAAGGATACTCGCTTGGGAGTGCGACATCCAGGCAGCTTGGATTTGGTCACTTCCATTGTGCCTCCAGCGTCTTTATCGATCTCAGTTTGCTCGCAAGCAGCTTGGGCAAGCCACTGCAGCGGATGCACGGCCAAAGGAACACTCTTTTTAGCCAATCGACTCTTATTAGTACCACTGCTGACGATGGCTGCGGCTTCTTCGTAGGAAGTCGCAGTTTCGAGACCTTTTACCATGGCATCTTGATCGTCGTCACCGGCATCGTCGAATTGACCTTCAGTAGCGCTCCTCTTGGAACAGGAAGTCTTTCTGTCATCGCCTAGATGACGTGAAAAACCCAGCAGATCATGTTGACGGGGGTTTCCACCAAAGGTATCCAATTGAAACAGCATGACAACCGTAATAACAGCCACAACACTACAACAATACACTGATGAGAAATGAATGAACTCGTTGACTCGATCCGGTGAAATTGTGAGGGCCCAGTTTAAAAAACAAAAAATGAGGGGAACAATGTACTTAACGACTTTGAAATTCAAACCGTTTTTCGTAACCGTCACATTTTTACAACAGGTGCACCAATCTCAAAAGATCCAAAAGTGCGCTTCGGAGGACAACAGGTTTTCCGAACCGGTACCGTACGCTTTACCGTGACCAGCACCGGTACCGAAGACAGGCTCCCCGACTCGACTCGACTCGACTCGACTCGACTCTTTCGACCCACTGATCAGCCTCGTTTGCACTCTGCCGAGACAGAGATAGCTGGTGGTAGACTAGTAGACCTGTCAACCGGTAGAGTGGAGCACATGTAGACCAATCTACCCACATATTTTAAAACTGGTCGCTGCCACACTATGCTTGGCCCAACCAACGAAAATGCGGCACAAGCAAGCGCCACCTTACTGGGACGACAGCTAGCTAGGTTTCGGGGGGAAAGTTTTAGCAGAGGAACTCCCATCACCTTGAAGATTCCGTTCATAAATGTTCATCAACGTTTTTAAAAGTCATACGATTTTAGCAAAGAGTGACTGGATTAAGTAAATTTTACTGAAACAGGTCACCAACTGCCAAATCGCTAAAACACAGGCTTTCAGCCTCTGTGGTAACTTTTCGGTTTTGGCGTGACTCTTTCATCTCCTCTGTGAGACTCATCAGTGCTGGGCTAAATTATATGTACTTGTGAAACTTTGGATTGTGTCGGCAGGCGCCGTAGATTTCGTTGCGTGTGTTGATCATTGTTTCTGGTGATTCTCGAGAACGTCGAAGTATTTCAAGTCTTTCCTTATTGCAAAGTTGGCAGTGTCGGGTCCGGAAGGTTTTGACACAGCTGACGGGGTTGCCTTGCCATAGAACGCTCACTTCGACGCTGTTCCGCAGGAGCTCTTTGTTTACCGGTTTCATTCTTTTGAATTGGTCGGCGAAGTGTCTTGCGAATCGTTGTCCATGAGGTTTATGACGTCTTTGAAGTGTTCGTTGGTTCGAAGTTTGACATTACGTTGGGTTGTGCCAATGTATTCCATGCCGCTGTTTGTGCATTTGATACAGTAACGTTTAAAAGTGTTAATAATAGAAGCATACGGTAGCCAAAGTTATGGTGAGCAACATGCAGCAACGCTCCCAGCGATAGTTCCAATCAATTGCGGGGTGGGGCTATAGACGCGCACAGCTCCTTTTGACACTCAGGCAGGCTCCTTGGTCACATGCATGAAAGCACCGAACCTAACTATGAAGTTCTGCTTTGGTGTATCTGGATGGACCGTCTACCGATTCAGTGTCACTCAGAAAAAACTGGGAAACTAGTTACAACAGTCTCGGTAGGTTTCCCTCTGGAACTGCATCCTGACAAAGCTGGGACTGTCTAGGTAGTCTTTCCTACAGCTTTAGTTTAGCAAATCATTGTGATACATACCGGTAGAAACCCCATGCATCCGACTGCAGCAGATCACACGGCACCGTAGTCTATATTGGGCTCAACTTGCAAACAGCTTTGCCATCGCAATAAATTCCCTTAAAAGCTGTTGCCAACGATTTAGAGCCAACGTTTCCAATGGCTTTGTTGTTCACGGTAAAGGCCACCTTACCACCTTTGGTGGCAAAAGCAAGGTCCGTTCCCTTCTTGCATCCCTTGGGGAGGCCTTGTGTTACCATTGTCTTGAATTCTTCAATACTGTCCTTGTCATTACAACGGGGCTTCAATGCATCACTCAGAGCCGATGCCATCTTCTCAGATCCCACCTTCATGTTCATCTTCAGTAGAAACGTTTCTCCATACTGACCAACGGCATAAACCTTGATCGGTCCCTTGGTTCGGACTCCTAGCCCGGATAAGGCGGCTCCTTGGAACTTGCCTGGAAAATCAAGGCCCGTCTTCGGTTCTTGGATGGCACTCACTCCAACGGAGATTGCGAGGGCAATGAGAACAATGCACTTGGCAAGAGATGACCTCATCATCATGGTCTTTTTCGAGGCGTGAATAAAGAACAAGTGTATGTTGCTGGAGTTCAAGAGTGACAGTCAATGTGCTCTTCTGCAAAGCCTCGCATACTGTGGGCCCAACACCAACAACGCCGTGCAGCGAAGAAAAGTTGGATCTCTTTGTTGTGTGACGTCAGTGATGGTGTCAACCAAATCGGCTACTAGCTATAGTTACCAGCCAGTACGATGCTGACATGGGCGGGACTGTAAAATATGGATTGTATGTGCCGCATCTAGCTAGAGCTATCATAGCTACCTAGTACATGTAGTAAATCTCATCACATGCACAGGACAATGTGATATAACCTCAGAGGCATATGGGCAGCAGGGGCGCGCATGGAGCGGGCAAGCTAGCTAGACGGTTGCTTGGCACTTCATTCTGGCTTTGACAGATCTGCAATAGAAACAAGGAGTGTCACGGTTGAGGGGCTAGCTAGAAGGTAGCTCAAATGGTGATCCAAAGGTTGGCTAGTTGCTGGCATCGGATCCCTTGTAGCCTGCTCGCCCACGGGTCTTGGAAAGTTTATGGCCCGGTGTGTATGGTGCATTATTGTGAACACAACGAAAGAGACGGGTACTACTGGTAGATTACACGTAAGATTGATTTTAGCAGTGATACTTACAGGTTATTGCCGTAGTAGCGCATATTTTGGAGCTGGTAGCTAGCTAGCAGGCTGCCTCGGCTTCGAACTCCATGTTGAGCGCCATGCCATTCCAAACATGATACTGGTACGGCCTTTCCATACCGGTATCTCCTGTGCCCCTCTGTTGTCGTGAATTGTCATGATGATGATGATGATGGTTGTGGTGAGGAATGTCACCTCTTTGTGCTGCTAGTATCGTTCCGAACCCAGCAGTCCCTGATGGGAAGTACTCATTGTACAAATCAACGAGCTTCTCTGCAAAGATTCCCAGGAAATTGAAACCCATCAGGACAATCAATGGAATGAAGAACATATCACCCACTTTGAATTCTTCATGCGAAATATGAATGTCTCCAAACCCAACAGTGGTGGTTGTAATGTAGCTGAACCAGAACGCATCTTTAAGGGAAAAGTCCTCGGCAAGTCGGTTCCTTCGGTACTTTTGCATTGCCAGCGCCAACACGAGCATCCACAAGATTGTTGTGCATAACCAGAACAGGACAGAAAGTGGTCCCTTGACAAGGCGTTTCAATTTCAACCGAAGAAACAGGTCATCCACGAGAATCTTCCAAACGTTTGAAGCAGAGTTGTTTAGTGCCAAGAAACCAATGATTGTCACAAATCCACATGTGTACACTAGTAACCGGCCCTCATCCGTTGTAGGTGCAGTGTTACCATAGCCACTGAATCAGACGCAAAGGTTGGAGACATGAAAATTTCGGCATGCACGCCTCGAATGTTGAGCGATTCATCACTTACATTGTTGTCATGATTGTAAACCAGAACAAAGCTCCAGCAGCTGCATGAACTTTGCATCCATGGGACCCGGTGATTCCCTGGGTAGCCTTCCTCAGGGCATCCTTGTCGCCGAAGGGATCCTCCACGTCGGATGCAGCCTCAAAAAATTGTTCCATATAATTGATGGCGTATGCCAAAAACTCTCGATCGTGCGCGTCCTCTTGGTTCAGTTCTAGCCGCTCAAACGTTTCGTCGGTATAATTCACACTGCTGGTATCGGTGTTCTCAACGCTGTGCGCGCATTCCATCCAGTTAAACGTAAGGCTCAATTCAGACCCAGCCAGTGCAAAAAAGTCAATGGGTTCCATAACGTCGAACTGCTCCAAGCCCTGGAAGAATCCACAACCGCCAAGCTCATCCGTGAAATTGACGTCTGGAAAGCTTTGCTCCAAGACTGTTACATTTTCGTGGACGTCGGTAAGGTTTGCGAAGCACTGAGACGCAGAGTATTTCATTGCAAGCCATATGGAAATTCGGTCATCAATGTGCGTAAGATATTTCATGAGATTATCCTTCACAGCCTTGTCATTCGCTTCAATCTCGCCTCCCTTTTCCATTGTAGCTAATCCATATCCAAACAGAAACGACATGCCAATCAAGATGAGCAATGGAAATATCAGCTGAGTGGCAATAAAATAGAGTCGGGGCACGCTGCACTGAAGCTTGTGAACCCAATGAGTCGATGCCAAGAGCTCTCGATAAGCCGCCGTCTCATGATGCACATCATCGTGAAACGCTTCTTCTGGAGCCTTTGCAGTTGAGATTTTCTCGCTGCTGACATTTGATTTCTGGTTACGGCTGGTTATGGGCGAAGCCGCACTGTCCTCGCTGCGTTGACTGTGGCCATCCTCATCTTCGTGCTCTCCAAATCTCTGGAACAATATCACCATGGTGGATACCGTAGCGGTGGGAGGGGAACTGAATGAATGAGGAAGCTCTCGTTTCTTGGTTCGAAGTCACGGGGGCATTGCGTTGTGACTTGCATGTACGGGGTATCGCTGAAATCAGGAAGACTTAGAAAATTATTTAGATTTGTTGGAAACAGCTAAAAGGAATTATGTCCAGTGTGTAAACTCGATTTAAATGGCTTTTTATATGATCTTCATTATAGATACGGCTTTCTCGATCCTACTTAACGAACCATTTTGCCTTGTTGCACCAAAAAGCGCCCGGAGGAGTACGGTGTATTCATCCTGTCAAAATGACTATTTCAGGCACTTTCCACTTTCTTGACAAAATACCGTAAAAGTACTGTATATCCCAGAACTGAGAGGAATACTGAGAGCCTGTACGAGTAGTAGGGGATCCTACTGGTGTATCGATCGAGGTATCAAGGTCAGGGTTCGCTAACCGATTTTTCGGTTACCGGTTATTTGCCATTTGGTTACCGGTTGAATGATTTGGTTACTCAACCGGTAACCGGTAACCGGTACCCTAGCAGAACTGGTTACTCAACCAGTAACCAGTAACCAGTACCCCGTTGACTGGTTACCGAACCGGTTACCCAATCGGTTACTCAAATTGCCGTTTTGGTTACCGAATCGGTTACACAAATTGCCATTTGGTTACCGGTTGTTTGATTTGGTTACTCAACCAGTAACCGGTAACCGGTACCCTAGCAGAACTGGTTACTCAACCAGTAACCAGTAACCGGTACCCTAGCAAAACTGGTTACTCAACCAGTAACCAGTAACCGGTATCCAACCAAACGGTTAGCGAACCCTGATCAAGGTACACCCAACACCTGGTGTATGCTGGTTGACGATCGTTCCTTGATACCAGTGACGATCGAACGAAAGGTCACCGCCTTGGTCGTAAGAAAAATGAGGCTCGCACCTCTACTACTCACTGTTAAGATATACGAACGCACCTCCACCTCTCCGTACGTTCGTTCGAAAAGCACAAGTCCTCTATCGCTAGCTACTAGTAGTAGTAGCTACCGAGGTACGTTCGAAAAAGCACAAGTCCACGAAAAGCAACAAGAAAACGCTACTGGCACGAAATCGCTGGCTACCAGCATGAAAACGAAAATGCCACTCATGCAACAAACTCACTATAAGGCATGGCTACCATGCTGATTAAACTAAGGTCAACTTTACTGAGCACGAACAATACAAAGATCCTCATGCAGACTGCCCATAATGGTGTCCTGCTTGATGGCAGCAGTAATATTCAAAACACTTCCTTTGTAATGCTCCTCAATCTTGGAGATGACCCAAGCTGGAGCTTTCTGAGCATTGACAAGTGTAGCCATGAGAGTCCAGAGTGGCTTCCTCCTGGAGTAGGTTGACTTGCAAGCCCTGATATCATCAGCAGTGAAGTTCTTGGCTGGCTTGTTGCCACCAATACCATGCATCCACTCTTGCAAGCAGAGCCAACAGTTCTGTACTTGGCAGCTTGGCAGGCCTACTATCAGCAGGGGTGGTGGCCACAGCTTGTCTACCTGAGGTAGTCTGGCCATTCCGGCGAGTCCTTTCCACAGTCAACCCATTTCTAAAAAGATTACCATCTAACTGATCAGGTGTTGCCATCCTTGAGGCTGAACAGCAATCCTAAAAGCAAACAAAAATATAGATTAGCAGCAATAATAGCCATGGTTGCAATAGCCAACAACACAAGTCCACACTTACCTGCAAATATTTCCATTCAGTTTCGTCAGCTCCGCGCCAAGCCAAGTCTCCAACCAACCCTCAAAGCAGCAGCCGAATGTCGCGGGTCCTACCTTCCTGCCAATGAGCTGCTGGAGCTGGTTGTGCTGCGCAATAATCCTTGTCAGAATCTCCTCGTTCGTTCGTACCTGTTGTGCGTTTGCATAGCCGTCACCTGCCGAGACTGATTGGCAACTTGACGAGTGCTTGCTGGCCGTCGTTCCCGTAGTGCCGCCACGTAGTGCCACCAGCCGTGCCACCGCCGCCTCCCGTATCCATCGGCTCGATTTCGTGATGTGGAGCTTGGTGTTGTGCGTCCAAATAGAGAGAGCACTTTCACCACAGGGTTGAAGCCAACAGGAACATCGGCCTTGATGCGCTCGTACGCATCTTGGATCCTACACGAACGGGAGGCTCCATTCTCTCCTCCCAAGATTCGTCAAGAGCAGCCCACACAAAAGAGGCAGAGCCAAGTGAAGCGAAATGTCGTTGACACCGTCGTAAAACGCATGCGTCCTTGGCACCACATGCTCAATCAACCAGTCGGGAGTCACCCTCCTGGCATCCGGGTGTAGCTTGTAGGCAATAGGAGCCCCCATGCAAAGCTTTTCGGCAACACGAGCGTCGATCCAGGGCTGTTCAGGCGAAATGTAGGCATCTACAACCCGTCCAGAAAAGCGAGCCTTCCAGCGACCTTGAATGTCAACTTCGTCAGCAGTAGCACCCATCCTCTTGCCAGAGTTGCAGCAAACTTCCGAATGCTGTGACTCCCAAGAACACCAGCAATGAGGAGCGCACAGCCAGAAATGGAGCCGACAAAAAGACACCTTGAGAATGTTGCGGTAGGCTGCGTTGCAGTGCTTTGGAGCCAACTTGGGATCGTTTCGGGAGTAAAGAGGAATGCATCTTCCCGACCAGCGCGCCATACCCGTAGTTGAAGGACGCCTCCATGTAATTCGCCAATCCGAGCAAGGCATCAAAGTCGGTATCCATCGACCTAAGAATGATTTGGTCAGGGCATTGTCGTTCTTCCGAAATATTCTTGGACCAATGCACCTTGCAACTGATGCAAAAGGGAAGTCTGGATGCGGCTTGTAGTCGGAATACTTCAACTTGGAGATGTCGTCCGTCTGGTGATGAGATGGACTTGCTGCTTCAACATGCAGGCTGTACGGATGGTCAATTCAAAGCTCCCTTTGCCGTAGAGTTCATGGACCACCTTGCGATACTCATTTCCGTCAAATCCCTGGTGGCACAGGACTTCTTGCCGCGTTGTTGAGTCTCCGCTTCTTGACTTCCTTGACCACTTCGGTCACAGATCGGACTTGGTTGGATTGCCGGAGGTTCCATTCCATGTGGCACCCTTGATGGGCATGTAGAAGGAATAGCCTTCTTGTCTTGCTCAAGAGTAGAGGAGCGGCAAGTTGGATTCTGCTCGAGTTCTTTGAAGTCAACATCGGTGTACCATACGCCACGCCATTTCAAGTAGTCGCAACGTGGTGTGGTTGGATGCCCGCCAAAGCACTGGGTTGGAAGCGAGCCGCCTTGGTGTACGTCCTCTTGTGCAGCCAGCTCATGAATTTGACGAAGAGCGATTGGTAATCCCGGTTGTACTTGGGCTGTTCCGGTGGGTGCTTCAGGCAAATCCGGCACGTCCTCCAACCCAAAGGCTCCATCATTGCATTGTTGGCCATGGTGGAGGAATTGTTTGGTCAACTAAGCAATTGTTGGTTTGGTTGAGCTGGAATTTTGGCAGAGTTCCTTTATAGAGTAGAAGGAATGAAAATAATGAGCTCAAAACTGAGGAAACTGAACTGAACTGAACTGTACGGAGAGGATCCACCGATCGATCATGGGATTTGCCCGTTGTTTGCCTCTTTGTTGAGTATACACGAACGATTCGTACGGTGGCTTCAGTATGCGGCAATGACGTACGATTCGATTCGCTGAGTATACCACAACGACAACTGAGAGACAGAACGGTACGAATCGGATCCCATTGGATACCTCCTGTGGCTACTTAAAAGGCAAAATCGGAATCCTCTCAGTATGTGGTTGGTCTTAATGCCGGTGTTATATCTTCTGTGTTGCAGTTTATTTAATAGTGAGAGTCTTATTGAGAGGATCTTTGTTTCAATGACTGCTGATACCATGGACTTTCTACGTAGCATACTGTGCTGGATCCTGAGAGTATGTAAGATCCACTAAGTAGTAGTGTGAAGCACATACTGACCCTGTGCAACTACTGTTGCAGAAATGTAGTACCGGTACCGTTAGCTACGATGTCGACTGGGTACTACCGTCCCGGTACCGGTACCAGTACCAGTGCTGCTGATACAAGAGATGTGCACCGGTTTCATATCTCTAACTCTAATGTTTATCGTAGATCGTAGTTAGGTTTGACAGGTGGTCACGGACACTGGCTTACACGTGCAAGCAGCTGCTGATACGGTACTCACGTAATTATGGTTCTTCTTTGACTGCTTTTTGGTACAAACCTGCTTCTGCCAGTTCGGTTGCTCGTCAAAACGTCCATCTCATCCACTTAGATCCAGAGAACAAAGAAGATAGAATGGGGCAAGAGCAGAAGTCTTGTGCAGGCTTCTGGCGTACAATTCAATTAATATATCTATGACTGCATGGACATTTATACTTTCGGACCGAGAACGGAGACATTTTCCGGACAAAATTTCAAACACTTACTATAAAGCATTTGTACAATACTGGCAACAATAGGGCTCACTTGCCCCTTTCTTGGCGTACCAGCTCACCATACAATGCAATGTTTTTAACTTAGAGCAGAAGGGGGCAGTTTCCGTGGAGCAAAGCCTATCTCTTTTTACAGTCAAGTACTGTTCTGTCGACAATTGACCAGGTTTTTACCAACTACTCTACTTACTGGATATCAAGTAAGTACATGTACTGTAGTACTGGAGATGTCAGTAGTCAAACTTTCACTTGAAGCTGTTCGATTTACCGTAAAGTTCTGTACCACCGGCCACGTGCGATGTACGTGTTTGCCAGGTAGGGCACCCATTGTCAAATACCTGAATTAGGTTTTTGCTTCACCCTAAACATCGCCACAGAATCACAGAATCAGCTCGATCAATAGACCATCCACCATCCGGACTCGGCTGAGACTCGCTGCCTGAAGGTCGAAAGCCGAAGGAAACTGTTGCCAAAGTTATATCCGTGTTAAAATCTTTTCTCTGCAATTTGTTGCAGCACATTCATTCTCCGACCAAAACATACATTATCGAAACCATGATGGAAGAGCCAAGAGACTCCCAGCAGAAGTCAGAGAGGATTGATGCGACGCCGGTTGCATCCAGAGGTGGTAGCTGGCAAAGGAGGTCCGAGCGCCAGTGTGACGACGCGTCGCCGTCTGGATCAGCAGAAGCACCCGAAGAAGGGGGAGCATCGCGTGAAAAGTCAAGTGGTTACAAAAGGAGGCAAGGGGACGATGAGGCAAAAAACAAGAGGAGAAAGGTAGATGCAGATACCACGGTCACAGCAGTGGTGATGAATGCGAGAGGCGTGGCGTCCATTCCACTGTATTAGAGCGTATCGGGCAGAGTGATGTACGGCCTACCTCCTTTCGATGAGGATAGTAGTATAGCCGATTGACTTCGCTGGCAGGCTGATTCGTGTTCGAGCGTTCAAAGAGCGATGCGTTGTTAGACCGACTGGGCCACGTCAGTAGGATGCGTCCCCGCAAACCAGACGATCACCTGGTGCGGACAACATGAGGAGGAGCACGTTGGTCGATGGCTCGAGGATCAGCTACGAGGGCCTCTTCTATTGCTGACTGGACTTGCGGTCTATGTTCTAGCGTATCAACGCAAAAGAGGTGGCAGGGGCATGTAGTTGAGCCTTTGATTCGGATTGGATGCGTTGGGGTCGCGGTGCCATTACCGACGCTGTTATACGCTGGCTTCGTGTGCTTCTCCTCTCGCTTCTTCGCGACTGGCTCTGCAGCAGTCTCTCAATACGTTGTGTTTATATCTTTATGTCTGAGAGGATCTACCTTTCTGTCCGCCATGTGTACCGCTCACGTCGACGACTTCATATGGTGAAGCGATACCGGAGGGCACGTCGAAGCCGTTGGTCTTCAAGAGCTGCAGAATTCGTAGCTTGTCCGGTTCTAGCTTTCCCTTCCTGTACATAATACGTTGACGCTTTAACCAGCTGTAGAGGATGTGGTTCTCTGCGTCCCGTACTTGGCAATGACCGTGCGTGGCGTGATGCGCCAGAAGGTCGTCCAACCAGTTGTACCAACCGTCGATCAAAGTAGGGTCTGACTCTCCTTGCTCCTTGAGTTCCACTAACATCTGTTTGACAATCGTCACACCTTCAGAGTCTCCGTGAACAGATTCATTCGCATCAACGCCGACAGAATAGGTGCCACCATGAGCCCGAGCTGACGCTGCTTGGCTATCTTGCGGAAGTCGATCTTCGTTGGTTTCCGTTTTTGCCCCACGCTTTCCATCTTCTGTTGGGCTTGGTTTTCGTTGGCTTTCGTCGGAAGACGAATTCGAAGTCGGAGACGTTGTCTTGGGCATCCTCTTGGCCGCTCTACCCGCCATCGTCTCGGTTTGACC